CACGTAGCACAGCAGCGCCTGAAAAGCGCTAAAAAAACGCTAATGCAGGTGCAGGAATTCAGCACTTTTTAAGCGCTTTTTTAGCGTGTTAGCGCTTTAAAAGCGCATGTAAAATCCACTAAAAAAAGCGCGTTACAAGCGCGTACGACCAGCGCTGGAGAAAAGCAGTTTTATAGCACTTTAAGCGCTCAAAATATGTTTTAAAAAGCGCGTTAAAGACTAAGTTACAAGCTCGTACGACCAGCGCAAGATAATCGCAGTCTCATGATCATCATACGTAAAAAATTTTAGTTATAACCGTAAGACTGTAAGCAAATCGATCAATCAATCAAAATTGCAATCTTACGTTTTAAAATTATCGACTATGATTGGTCAATATACTTACGGCCTTATGATTACAACTAAAACTTTTTTACTTGTGATGGCCTTCACAGCAAGTTACTGTTAACACAAACAGCCATAAAATAATGCATGATATTATGTACGATTTTCAATATTTATTCCCTTTTTCATTAAAAATAACAATTTATATTAAAAGAACAATTTTTATTTTGAGATAACATTGTTATATAAGCATCTTCTAGAGTTCAACACTCTACCGTAAATTACTTTTTATATTAACCTTTATATATATATAGTTTAAAGACGAAATGTGTCGCGTTATTTGTGATGAAACCTAACTACAAAACTTATCATAGAAAATATGAGGTTCGATAATCGACGGTACAATTGGGAAGTCATCGCTCGTCACAGTAAGATCTGGCAACAATAATTCCGCAAACGCTGTGTTAGCAAATCAGCAATTATCTGTGGCTCTCCTTTTCAAATGACTTCGAAGCCACGTACTAATAGAGCCTGTGATTTTTGATTTCAAAAAATTTCCTTTATATTGCTTGGCACATGCTTCTGAAAAAAAGGATTAAAACAATTACTATATTATGCATCAGAAATACCAAATACAAGGTTTAATTCATAACTTAATAAGATCATGTTCAATAAGAGTAAATCAAGTGTATTTCATGACACAGCAGGACTGTAAAAGTAAAGATGTTTCCGAATAAATCTGTTTTTAAACAAATAACCATGCCAGAAAAATAAAAATAAATGTATTAATATGAAACGGATTAAATCAAGAAAAATTAAATGTATTTAAATCTAAATTGGTCATGTTCATACTAATCTAAAGTACATTAGACGTTTAAATAACTTACCAATGATGCATTCACCACACTTCATTGATTTGATTCCTTTTTTTATCTCTGTCCCTGCCCAATTTAGATTAGATGCAACCTCAGGAGAGAAAAGCTTCTTACATATGTTGGTAGCCATTTCTCCTTCGTGTGTCCCTTTTCCAACTACGACACTGAAATGAGAAACCTGTAGAGAAACAAAAAAAGTATTATTGAAAAAGTTACACAGTACTAATTGTGTTGAGATGAGTTGCCTAGCTGCCAGTTTTTTAAAAGTGCATGACATTAAATATTTACTGCGAAATCGTAGTTGTCATTGTTTTGCAGAAACAATTCCCATTCATAAAAGGAGTTTACATCAACTAATGGAAAAGTAGGCCATCCTTCTGGTTTTTGGACATCTTCAGCAGTCCTAACAAGGTCTACAACAAGATCCAGTTTATGGTCCATATTTTGAAGTTTTCGCGAGAATTCTTCTTGTTTAGTGAGAACTGCCTTCAGTATAAGAAGCACACCTGTAACATAAAAAATTGAAGCCAAAATATACCGAGCCTGTATATAGTAAAGCCTGTAGAGACAAATCAGATTTTCAGAAGATATGTAATATAACGTGAAAGATGTATAATATAACGCAGGATAGTGTTGGATACTATAAGGTATAAGTAAAGGAAATAAATGAATGTTATAATTCATGTATTTTCCTGCCGAAGATGAAGATCTATCTTGATCTAAGTTTGATTCGTTTGTCATTAAGGGCGCTAAATAAAATAAAAATGCATTAAATAAAACAATGAAATACAATATAGACAAATAATATCGTGCAAAACGTATTAAAGCTACTCAAGTTGAGCAGTACTTACCAGACATTATTTTTTGCACATGATTCCGGGCATTCGGTACTGAAGGCGATGTTTTCGAGTAAGACATGTATGGTTGATGTGAGGATTGAGATTGGTTGGTTGCAGCAGAGTTTGAACAACTAAATGTGGCAAACTTTGGATGATCAAGTGCAGAGATTGAACGGCAAGTTGTAATGGACATCATTTTATCTATATCATTCTCCACCTCATCTGCAGTATAAACAAGTAATGTGATACACCAATATATCTAAAAAATATTACCAATTCCAATGGCACTTACTTATCAATGGAAGAAATTCTGAACGGAAATCAGGTGATCTGAGCTGTGAATCATATTGGCTACTAGGCATTTCATTTTCTTTATCTATTGTTCCTGGCTTCTTTAGTAGGTGAGCCTCTTTCTCTCTTTCCTGTTTTGCCTTCTCTTCTCTACGTTCCTGAATTCTTTTACGAGCTTTTTCAAGTTCCACATTAGTATCTTCCGCACATCGTTTTTTTAGCTTTTCCTGAATATCATCTACCATTTCTTCTTCTGTCTGTGATCTCTCATTGATTGTGTTAATTCTGTTCTTTTTCTCCGCTCTTTGATTTTTCAGTCTCTGCAGAGCATTCCGCACAGAGCTACTATTTCTGATTTCTAACTGTTTTTTTTTATAAGTAGACGGTGGTGGCACAGGTAGAGCTTTTTTCTTTCCTTTGGACATTTCTATATGATCCTCGTCTCCATCATCATCATCATCATCATCATCATCATCATATAATATATTTCTCTTTTTCTTTCTCATGCCTTTTCTGGTTTCTTTATCTGTATCAAGCCCATCCGTATCTTCGGCCATTGGAAGCATCTCTCTGGCTTTTCCATATGAATCTAGAAACAATAGAACAAGCAACAAATGTTTCAACAGTAAACTTACTGATCGTATCAAATTTTATAGTTTAGGACATAAACTCACTATAAGTTTTTCGTATTGTACATGGCAGACATTTCCATGTTTCACTGTCTGCATCAATATATGTCTTCACAGCTTTCTCCTCATCTTTTGCATTTTGTGGACATAGAACTACACCGTCAAAAATCCATTTAGTTGGGACAATAGAGGTAATTGTTCGTCCTTCTTCATCTTTCGTTTCGATAATGCTATACGGCTTTACCTAAAATACAATAAATGTGGAGTTATAATTTTCCTGATAGAAAAACAGCAAAACAAAAAATTGCATTTCTATACATCCTACACATAAAACTTTTTGAAAGTCATGAAAATCATGAAATATTAAATTAATACACAGATTAGAGAGATATCAGATTATTAGAAACTACACATACATATCATCAAACATTAATGGAAAGGTCTCGATAGCCCACATTCACTCATATCGGCCGATGCCCAGAATAATTTTTCAGTGTACCATCAATCAGAAAATTTTATATTAAATTAGCCAGTTGGCGATGTAGACAATCGGATCCCGCTTAATATTAATCAAGGTATATCTCCCAACCATTTATATTTTGATGTTGTAATTATATGGAAAACCATTTACTACAATATGATGGGAAGAGAAGAAAGTCATGTAAATAGTCACAGCTACAACTAACATAAGTTATCATGTACAGCTAAGCTAGGTTTCATAAAACAATCTACATACCTCTTAACAGACAAAGAATTATTTTCAGTTGAGAAATACATTATAAGAGATGAAGCAGAGGAAAAACTGCATATTTCTGTTTCCCATAAGGAAGATAAATGCATTTGTAAAGAATGTCTGAGAAATCATAAACAGTTAAATTTTCATGCAGATTTTCGACAACACAAATTCCCAAATCACTGGATGGCAATGGATAATCATACAGATCTTTAGTATTTTCAAAAATTTTAACTACAATCTTCAAGCCATTTACATGTCCAGTATCAACAATGTTTTGAACAAACCCAAACATTCCATCCTTGAGGCAAACACAATTATTTGGCTGAGTTACAGTCAGTGTATAAAATTCATGTTCATATCTTTTATACTGAGATATGATGGGAACTATATCGGCTATTGGGCCATTTACATGTTTATACATAAGACCTCTTGCTTTATTTTGAAGACAAATTGTCGTATTAACTAATTCTCTTTCACATAGCCTACGACAAATTTGCTGGAGAGGCTTGGAAGATGTAGTAATAAGCCTTTTCAATCCACCCAACTTGTCTTCAAACGGATAAGCGCTAAAATTCATAACGTTTCCAAACCTCATCACATCAGAAATCAGGTGCAATAACATATGAACATTATACACAACAAAACCCTTTCCAAAAATATTGGCACTATACTTTACAAACATGTCAATAAAATTATTTGCATCAGCCATATGAATATCAATTAAGGTATCATTGTACAAAATAAACATTGCAGCATGAAAAAGTAAATATAGCTTGTAGACTTCAGCTCTTAACACAAATTTAAGTATCGGAAGAGCACA